CTTCTGATCGATTAGCACCCTAATTTTTTCTAAATCATCATGTAGCTCCTGATGATTTTTCCTATCAGTAGACCACCTATTCAAGGAAAAAAATTTATTATACGTTGTATAAAATTATTAATATACAAAATCAGTTTTATAATTACCTCAGAAGTAGTGGAAATACGAATGTGTTCTTCACAACGGGACATAAAAAAGGCAATCAATACCATGTCCAAGACTGCAGCAGCAGGAGACATCTGCCGATAGCATTACGCCTGTAGTCAGTGGCTCCACACATCCCCATGTACAGCAAAGCCAAAACTGTCGAGCCCCAACTGAATGATCCGGCGAGACGAAAGTCGCTAAGATGTCGCAACCACATACAGTGAACTAGGTTGCGTGATTTGTCCAGCATCAGCAACCCTCCTATCAGCTGCAGTATGCATGCCCGTGCATACATCTTAACCTCATCCTCAGAGACGTCTACGCTCAACTCCCGAAAATTGGCATCTAATCAATTTAACGGTATCCTACCTCTGATAAAATTTTCCGTGACAGGTCCTAGACTATCCCGACACAAAATAGTCCAAAAACCGGAAGCTATCCCTGATATCACATCTCCATCCACCGAAAGCCCCAGGTGGATAGAAACATCCTCAAGCGTGATCGTGCACTCTCCGCACGGAAGATGGAATGTGTGGGTCTCCGGCCTCCACCGCTCTACTAAGGCAGAAATCAGGTCTGGCTCTATCTTACAGTAACCTTGATATCTACTTATGTAACTGAATCCAGTCTCTATTAAATACGGCAAGACACGGTTGGGTATCACTAACTTAAGATTCCTAATAAAAGGATCTAATACAAGGTCCTTCTCCTAAAAATAAATAATTACAAAAATTAATTCTTAATCTAATAATCATGCATTAAATAAATCAACTAATTATTACTAATAATTTAAATTAAATTAAAACGTTAAAATGTTACCGTATCAGCAAAGTGTCGAGATATTTAATTATTAATCTAATAATCATGCATTAAATAAATCAACTAATTATTACTAATAATTTAAATTAAATTAAAACGTTAAATGTTATCGTATCAGCAAAGTGTAGAGATATATGATTTCCTTCCGAGCGAAGTAGACTGCCTTCCATTATATATCTGCAAAAGAATTATATTACTAAAATATTAAATAAAGTAAAATACTTAAATAAATTAAATACATAATATTAAAAATATTATAAAATATACCTTAAAAAGAGAGAGTATTTGAGAGAATTTGAGAGAATTTGGTGTGATAAAAGTGATCGAGGATGGGGGTATTTATAGGGAGGATTGGGATGTGGACGGGCGGGTATTTAGGGGTACAGCGAACCCTCTGCACCGTGCTATACCCCACGTGTCAGATAACCAGGTATAGCACGGATCAAGGGCCGCGTTATACCCACATGGCGCCAAATCGCCGTATATCGCGGGGCAGGGGGCGCGCTATACTCCACGTGACGTCAAATCAGCGTATAGCGCGGTGCAGAGGGCGTGCTTTACTGCTACGGGTGTTAGATCAAAAAATATAATCTGACCGGTGTTAGATCGGTAAATATACCTGAAAAAGTTGGTGTTTGGGTGGTGGCGTGCGTCCTCCTGCCATTGCCGAGGTGATGTATCAGAGATTAGGAGGATGGGGTGAAACCCAAGTTCGGATAAATTTGGGTGTAGTTTAAAAAGTGGTTTCAAACTTTTCACAAATTTAAAATTTCCGACCGTCAAAAAGACATTAGCAATCACATTGCTTTTTGAAAAACCAATTTATTTCCGCTGCATAATTATTATGTACGCGGTTACTGACATATGTCATTATAAATATGTTGTAATGTGTCAGCGAGTGTTTGGCCTAATTTTTCTCTTTTTCTCGTTATTTTTTTACATTTTGATCTACAACAATATTAACTTTAATGTTGATTAGTGTTTATTTTATGTTATATTTTATGTTTAAATATTTTTTATTGTTTATTATTATTATTACTTATTTATGTATTTTTATATAAATTATGTGCATAATAATAACTTTTTGAAAAATATGCTTAAAAGACTTGAAAATTTTATTTTTTTTGTTCTGAAATTAAGGCTGGAACAGTAGGCATGAATATGAGTATTAAAAGGCTGATGTGACAGATTGTCAGCAAACTTTTAGAAGATCAATTTAGTAGCTTTTAAAATGTCTAGTCATTAATTCTAGAAGGAGGATGGATAATTGGAGCATTTCAAAATTCAAGTTTTTAGGAATTATTTTTTACTTTTAGGATTTAAATTCAAACAATTATTGTTTGTATTTTCAGCATATTTTTAATATTTTTAGAAATATATAAATACCTTCTTAGGATGAGCTTAAAACATGAATTAATTCTTAATTTTTGGATCATTGTGATCGAAAACCTTTCTTTTTTGTTTTTATTAAAATTCTCTTTTAGTTTTTACTTCGTTTATTTTTAAAGAAGCTTTTATTTTTAATGTTAAGTAGTTAATTTTCTTTCAAGTCGAGGGTTGAAGCGATGACTCAATTCCAACGTGAGAATTGAATATCACTTAAACAACTTCGGATATCTCTCTCAGCTTCTTTGAGCTTATTTTCAAAATCAAAACGATTTCAAAACCAAAGATTGACGTTGGTCAGGATATTATTATGGTTAAATGTGTGGGAAGAATGATCAGCTTATTGAAGCACATTCGACTTCCTGGAAACACACTTAACAAATTGTTTGATAAGAGGAAACTAATATCAGAATCAATTATTATTGAAACAACATAGTATGAGTCGATCTTTTACAAACTTAAATGTTTTTTTATCTACAACATTATTGTTGATTAGGTCAATTTTCCAAAATCGATATCAAGGGTTGCACTTGGGTATTTGGTATACAAAGCATAGTCACAAGGATTGGTCCTTGTAGACAAGTAACCAACGTGAATCCCGAAGTAAAAAACCATTTTTGATGATCCGATGAAACAGAGTCAAAGCAAAAGCCTAAAGATGACTTATACCATATTAAATTTATTTCTTTTTAATCTTCTTTATAATCACTTATTTTCTTACTTTTATTATACTCTTTTCATATATAAATCCTCACCTTAACTTAAATATTATTCAACTAACTTATTGGCTCAGAGATTAAACAAGCATAAATCAGAAAGTTTTCTTAGTAATTGTGGGATCGATCCTTACTTATCTCTTACTACGTTTAATGCCCTTTATTTATTATTTGAGAAGAATGAATTATTTTGACGCGAAGACGACGAGTGTAAGATATTTATTATTTTTATTTTACTTTATTATAGAGTATTTTTATTTTTAATAATCCTTTTTATGGCACCTTTTTTTACCTTTATAATATCTTTTTTCTATGTATTATGACACATTTTCGGTCGTTTAGTCGTTATTTTTGTTTATTCTTTTTTCAGGGTTGGATTTGACATCACCACGATTGATCAATATGATGTTTTATTTGTTATCATGTTGATATTCACTGCTTTGGACCATATGATTAGATTTAGATACACGATTTGAGTTCATGGACAGTATTTTCACGTTGCCCAATTTTGATTTGGGATTTATCGGCGATCTTTCAATAATTTCATCTCCTTTTGTGATTCTTTTGTCGATGCGGTCAGATATGTTTGTATCTATCTTTTACGTATAAAAAATGCATAATATCAATTCTGATTTACGATTTGTCGATACGATCGTATAAAATACTAAAAATTTAAAAGTTTTGTGTGTTTTAATTGTCAACACTAGTTTTTATGATCAAATATATACTTTTTATTGCAATTTACAATAAAGATTGTAGAGATCCAGAGTTTAAAGATTATATTTTATATATTTTTTAAGAGAATACACAAATCAATTTATGAGATGAAGTAAAAAAAAAAAACTAATAATAGCAGTGATTACATAACTTGATGAGTTCCTTTCGGACACAACGTTGGCAGCGTCCAAGCTCTGATTTTTGTATAAGAGATGAGTTCCAGAAGAATTATGATAAAAACGATTCTTTATCCATTATTAAACGAGTAGATCGAGTCAACTCATCTGAGGAAGATAGATAATTCATACATCAGCGCTTTGCTTTGGTAACAAAAATCAAAGGAATGACTCTCAGTTTCAAAGCTATTAAAATAACCTTTGAATTTGCATAGTTGCATACAAGTTAGCCAAGTAAAGTTGGTCCCATTTACCATCACAATATTGGACGGAGGAGGTTATAAAATAGAGCAAGACGTTGATCAGAATATATAGCTCTTAAATACAACGAAATGATTATCATATTTTGCTCCAACTAGTTTATCTCGGTGGTTAAAGTAATGTTGTTTTTTTAGAGATCACGAGTTCGAACACCAGTGGCTACAGCAAAGTGATTGGTTATTTATTGTCAAATAATTTAAAATATTTAGAATATACAGTAATCACCTTTCAGTATATTTTTCATCAAAGTTTCTTTTATTCAAAATTATTCAAAGGACAAAATTATATATTAAACCTTTTTAATTCTATTAACATTGTTGGAAATAATTATTCAAAATTTTGTGCCTTTGAAAATAAATATGTATTATATAAGATAATATTTAAACTTGATAATTTCTTTTGTAAAATTAACAATTGATTTTTTCTTATCAAATTGATATTAGTATTGACTCAACATCTTAAGATCCAGTCAAGTAGTTGACATAACATTGATTTATTAAAATGATAACATTATTGAATGTTTATTGTCAGTCTTATTAGTTTTTAAAATGACACACCATTGATTTAATAGTTATTTTTTAGAATTGAAGTACTAATCTGAAATTTATTTTCAAATTTAAGTACCAATTTGAGGCAAAAGAGTTCGTTCAAGTATCAATTTGTATATTAAGCCAAATAAAGAGTAAAGATGAGGTGGGCCTCACATTGGGCTTTATTTAATTGAACCCAGCCTATCCAGTCGAGGTGAAATCTTCTAACCGTTTGGACCTTGCTTTTCCCTGTTGTCTTCTTCTAGTTCTAGGGTTTAAGTTCGCCTCTCCAAGCCATTAGGGTTTTCCTTTCTGAGGACTGAGATTCCCTGAAGAAAGGAGAAGAAAAAGAAAATGAAGGTGAAAGTCATATCACGCTCCACAGATGAGTTCACTCGAGAACGAAGCCAAGACCTGCAGAGGGTGTTTCGTAATTTCGACCCCAGCCTACGATCCCAAGAGAGAGCAGTCGAGTACGTCCGCGCTCTTAATGCCGCCAAATTGGACAAGGTACATTCACGATTCAGGATTGAATTACTTTTTTTTTTATCTTTTTAAATTGAAATTTCATTCACTTTCTGATTATTTTGTTTAGATTTTCGCAAGACCGTTTATTGGAGCAATGGATGGGCATAGAGATTCCATCAAGTGTATGGCAAAGAACCCAAATTATTTGAAAGCAATTTTTTCCGGTTCTGACGATGGAGGTTATTTTTATATCTTTAATCTCAATAGTCAATAGTACCAAATATTAATGAAATTGCTGCAAAAGCTTCTAAGTTCTCATCTCCCATCTCTTTACAGATATCCGACTGTGGGACATAGCCTCCAGGTATTCATAGTACATATTTTCTTTACAATTTTGTTGCATTACTACAATGATTGGTGGCAATAGAGTTGTCAAATATCACTTTAGTAACATATTTGTTTCTACTCCTTTGATATATTTTGGTAGTTTGTTAAATTATTCTTTAAAAGGAATCTTGATTGACATTTAGTTTTGAAAATTTGATTTTAAGGCGAACAGTTTGTCAGTTTCCTGGTCACCAAGGTGCTGTACAAGGTTTGACAGTATCGACAGATGGAAGCATTCTTGTATCATGTGGAAGTGACTCCACGTAAGACCCAAATTTAATAGTTTAGTTTGATTTTCAATATTGTGTGGAAGTTGGTTAAGCTGGAATTTAAACACAGGTTCTATCTCAAAGTATCACCTAAACTTTCTCACTGTTCAATTCTGTTTGGTTTTTTTAGTGTTAGGCTCTGGAATATTTCTGATGCTAATCACGCTGATTCAGATAATCTTTCTGATAATTCAGCCAAGGTTTGTCTCTTTATATTTCTTGTATTTCTGCAAAAGCAATAATTTTCAGTTATAGTTCTTTCTCTACTTAATTGCCACTGTTCCCTTTTTAATTTCCATCTTTTTTAACCAAGAATTTCATTGTTACTGTTCTAAACCATCTACAACTTGCATTGTTCAGCCACAAGCAGTTTATGTTTGGAAGAATGCATTCCGGTAAGGATCACGACTTGTCAGAAAATATCTATATTATTTTGGCCTTTTCTTCCTGTGGATTATGGTTTCTGATTTTTTTTCCTTTCTTCTCGGGTGTAAACTGTAATCTTTACCTTGTACTTTTCAGGGCTGTTGACCATCAGTGGGATGGTGATCTCTTTGCCACAGCTGGTGCTCAAGTAGATATATGGAACCACAACAGGTTTGATCTCCTCCCGTCTTAATTTTACTTTTTTTTCTTTTTCTTCTTTTTCCTTCTGCATAATGCAGATTTATATGTTTGTTTTATGAGTATGTGGCTTTCCTTAATTAGGTCTCAGCCAGTGAACACGTTTGATTGGGGAGCAGACACCACAATATCTATTCGATTTAATCCAGGAGAGCCAAATATCTTGGCAACATCAGCTAAGTATGTGTGGATGCTTGTTTCTGGATAAAACATTGTGTATGTTTGATAGAAATTGAATAACTATGCAAACTGCAAAGTTCAAACCTTTTGATTTTCTAATAGTTGACATTGTATGCTCTATCCGAGAAAGTTAAAATAGATGACTAGAACAGATCAATGATGTTCACATTGATAGATCAAATTATACTAAACATAATCTAGCATCTCATGTCTAAACCTCAGTCTGCCTCACTTTTTGAAGATGAAATTAGAGGGAGCTAGCGTCTATTAGTGAGATCCATAATGTCAACTTGCTTGCTCTGTAGACCAAAACTATATAGTCTTCCAATAATATATTTATCTACAATAGGTTCCCATGACTCTCTCTATGGTACTTGTTAATTTCTTTCCATGACATGACAGCTGCTAGGGTATTGTCATTTTATATTCTACGATTTCATGCTTTTTTGTAAAATAGGTAGTAAAAAATGTATTACCTTTTTTATTTCTGGGTCAATTCTGCAATCTAAGGAAACAAACTATTTATAATTGGTTTTGGATATGATTTTTGGTCTTCTGTAATCTTAAGTGATTTTATGGAGGATGGTGTGTTATTAACTTCAGTAATGTGCTTAGGCAACAGTTTTTTGTTCAATGCTACTTTTAGTGCACACTTTGCATGAGGTTTAATTTTTAATTTCTATAGTTGTTTTGCACTTTAGTGAAGCAAGAAATTTAGCTAGAGCCTTTCTGGGAATATTTTTTTAATGTGATTGCTATTTGTCTATATAATGTGAATTGCCCATCCAGCTCAGTTGGTAGAGCGCAAGGCTCTTAACCTTGTGGTCGTGGGATCGAGTCTCATGGTGGGCAATTCATAATTCTGACTGTCGGAGGTCTTCTACGGAAGCTGCTCTCAACCTGGCGTTGGGGGCAGCCTACTATCCTACCTCCCCTCACCCCATTACATATGGGAATAGGGTCAGCTAATTTAATTATTTTAGCTATGCAGATCAATGTAGGTCTTTGTCTTCCTTAACTCTATTCTGTTTGACTTCCTGAAAATGTATCTTCTTGTTTTCAGTGTTTTAGTATGTATTATAAAGAGTTTATCGTTATTTGCATTCATTTTTCTTTTTCTGTTTTTAGTGACCGGAGCATAACATTGTATGATCTGCGGATGTCATCCCCAGCAAGGAAAGTTATTATGAGGGTAAGTCTTGGCACATTGTGAATGAAAACATGGAATTGGTATTTTTGCATGAGAGGATAATCAGATCATTTTTATTGCAAATCTGAACTTTTTGGTCCCTTTTTATTTAATTATAAATGCTGGTGGTTTTCATTAAAAGAGATGTATAACTTGTTAAATGTATATTTAATGTGGAATACTTTCTTTAGTGGCCAATGTTTGGAATTTCGCATTTAGTGATTGCTTATCAGTAATACTGTAAAATCGATGATTCTTCAAGGGCAATCTGACTTTTATTTTTTTACAGACGAAAACCAATTCTATTGCTTGGAACCCAATGGAGCCTATGAACTTCACTGCGGTAAGGGAAAACAAGTTGAAGTTTCTTTGCTTGAAACATTTGTTGACATTTTCTCGTGGATGCTTCTACCAATTCTTATATATTATTTTATAATTTTTTGAAAAAAATAATGAAAGAACGAGAAACAAATTGTTTGTTCTGAAGATCTCTTTTAATTGCAGGCAAATGAGGATTGCAATTGCTACAGCTATGATGCTAGAAAACTGGAGGAGGCCAAGTGTGTGCACAAAGACCATGTTTCAGCAGTGTACGTCATTTAGACGTTTTGCTTGATGTTTAAGTAATATATCTTATTGAAAATATTAAGTTCTCTCCTTTTTCTTTCAGAATGGATATTGATTTCTCACCAACTGGTCGGGAATTTGTAACGGGATCTTATGATAGAACTGTGAGTCTTTCTTTTCTCTTTTTTGTCCACTGTTTCTGTTCACCATGGACATTGTTAGTGTCTAAACAATTTTTTTTCCACAGGTCAGAATTTTCCAGTATAATGGTGGCCACAGTCGAGAAATCTACCATACAAAGAGAATGCAAAGGTTTAATTTCTAATACTTTAGACAATTAAGGATCTAATAAGGGATTTTCATTTTATTGAATCTGTTATTCTGATTGTTTTCCCTCTCCTTTTAGGGTGTTCTGTGTGAAGTATAGCTGTGATGCCAGTTATGTCATTTCGGGAAGTGATGATACCAACCTTAGGGTCTGGAAAGCTAAAGCATCAGAACAATTGGGAGTAGTAAGAATCTCTTCATTTGACATGATTCATTGGGATTTCTACACTTGGATCATATTTCCTAACTATTGTAAAATTTGTCAAAGCTGTCTTATCAACTGTCTTTCTTTTTATTCAAATTTCAGTTGTAGCTGCTTTAAGATGGATCTTCTTGAACATTCATTGTTACGGTCGGATTGTATTGCATCTCACTTAAGTATCTCATTCATTCTTCTGCCTTATGCAGGTACTTCCAAGGGAAAGAAAGAAACACGAGTATCTTGAAGCCGTTAAGAATCGCTACAAGCACCTGCCTGAAGTCAAGCGTATTGTAAGGTAAAATTGAAAATCAAGACTTGGTTCACATTTGGTATTTTTTGTATATTAGGTCAGGTTTTTGTTTCCAGTGACGTGCGCGGGGTTTTCATCAGCTTAGATAAAATGAAACATGGAGCAGGAGATTGTTTTCATGTTATATTTGATGAATACAAATAATTTTGTATTAAGTTTTTAATGCTTCTGTCGTTTATGATTGTGCAGGCACAGGCACTTGCCAAGACCAGTTTACAAGGCGGCCAACCTCAGACGCACTATGATTGAAGCAGAAAGGAGGAAAGAACAAAGAAGGAAAGCTCACAGTGCCCCCGGAAGCATAGTGACTGAACCGGTTCGTAAAAGGAGAATCATAAAAGAGGTTGAGTGAGTTGCACGTTAATGTGTCCTCAGAAACTGCACCTTGAACAAGCTTCAGCTCTGCAGTTCTGCAGTTCTCTGTAGTCGAATGCAAGTTGTCTGCAATTCAATTCCTCCGAATTCAATGACATATCTGCCCAAGTCTCAACTAAATTTAGACTGTCATGAACTGAGGCAGCATCTTTTTACTTTCAATTAACATTTTTGTCACAGAAAGTTGATTGACATATTATATATATAATTGTAATGTTTATCACAAACTGCTAAGGTTTTCTTAAATGAAATTGGATTCCTCAATTGCAGTTGGGTATGTATTTTGGTATCCTGCAATTTCTCTCTTAATTGCAGTATCTTTTCATTTTCTTGGTTCTTTCTACATGCTCTTCAGATGCTTTTTTTTTATCAATCTTTGGTGATTGGAAGATAGTATTTGTTAGAATTCTAACTCAATTGACGAAAAGTACACATACAAAAAACAAAACTTACATTATTTGAGGTCTCGTAATGGGTACCAGACTGCATTATCAAAATGCTACACTACAGAGAACATTAGTGGAGTTTGAATTGCAGAATCAAGGCCAATATAACAGAAGAAATCACATGATTTGCAAAGAAATAAATTCATTACTCTAAACATACAACAAATGGCTAAAACCCACATCTAAGTCGGTTGCAGAATACTGCCCCAAAATCACAAGTCAAGCAGCAGCATTTGGTGTTCTATTGTAACATGAAAACCCCGAACGTTATACATCTGGATCATCTCTTACAACTGCATGAAAATACCAACAATTCCCCACCCGGTTATTTCACTTCGTAAGACAAAAACTATCCATTAAGGCCGTCGTTTACGATCATCTTCTTCTTCATCATCAGAATCACCACTCTCCCGGAAACGTGGATTCTTCTCCTGTTGAAAAAAAAATATGGTTTAAAATGTGCAACAGAATGGAAAAGTGAAAACGACATTGACATTGGAAAATGCAATTAGCATCCTATCATCTTTTATTATTAGTTTATTTTTAAATTTTCTGCCTTTCCTGAAAGCATTTTATCTAAAGCATCCATCTCCACCCCAAAGTGTCACCTGACGGCTCATATATAATTAAGAGCATGTAGGGGGTACAATAATAACTCAGATAGTGTGGTGAAGCATTACCGGTCTAGAGTCATGATCAGAGGCTCTCCTGGATTCGTGTTCCGACGATCTCTTTGAGGGCTCAAGTCCATAGCGGTCATCCTCTCGGTGTCGCTTCCGATGGTAATCTGCTTTATCAACAATCAATCAAGTCCATGAATGGCTTAAGCAGGTGTCCACATGACAAGAATAATTAGACATGCACTGCAAAGATAAATACCTCTCCCATGACGATAAGAACCACCATGACCATGTCCCCCACCACGCCGACCATCTGTAATCATATAACATGTCAGTATGTTTTACCTTTTCTCCGAGCATATTAACACCCGAAACAACAAGAAATGCACATTAATGGACAGAGAAGTCCACAGACATAAACTTTAAATGGTATCCAGGAGATTTTTCTTCGGTAGAAAAGATTAAACCATGAGAGGAACAAACGATTATTAATGAAATTTGCATAAAGTGAGAAACAAAAGAAAAAAATAACACCTCACTGCCAAAAGCAAACAAATTATCTATCAAGAATATACAATTAAGCCTATTTTTCCAAATATGTTCATAATTAATTTACGATAGGAGAGGCTAATCATTTCTAAGAGAACCAAACATTTTCCCTTTTCCACTCATTATCATCTTCCAGTTTTCATTTGAAGCCATTAGCTTATCTTTTTCTTGGTTCTTTAATATATAATATAGCGTGCGGACCAGAGTCCATAGATCCATATTTTAAAACAAGGAGCAGAAAATAATAGGCAACTTGATGGTTTTATGAGCCGAAGATGGAATAAGTCTAACCAACAATGCAAAATATATAGATCTACAATCAGAAGTATGTAGGAACTCACACTGAGGGGCCATAACCGGTGGGAAAGAACCCAAGGAGCCGGCACCATAATCTACAAGCTGCCTTTGTGCTTCCAACTCTCTTTGAACTAATTTTCCATAGCCACCTCTACGTATAGCACGTTAAGGTGGGAGACAATATATAGAAAAAAAGGCATTCTGAATTTCTCAATTCATAAGATCTCATGAGAGCCGAAACAAGTGATTATACAAAATTCTGAACTGATATTAGACTTCAGTATTAATATGCTTATGCATCTTTGTTAGTTTCGGAACAAGATAAGAAATCACTAGAATCAAATTTCAAACAAATACTTGAAAGGATATCAGGATCATAATCAGTTCGATATTCATCTCGTACCTGCATTAAATAAAACGAGAAATAAAAGTTTAGCAATACTCTCTCCATCCCATTCTACATATCATAGCAAAGTTGCAGGCAAAACAAAAAGAACTTACTTGGCCACCACTTCGACCACGGCCCCATTGCCTTCCTTCTAGGAATCCCCAATCGAAATCTACACGAATCGGGCGGTCGTCAAGAATAGTCCCGCTAATGTATTTAACAGCATCCTCTGCATCTTCCCTAGAATAATACCTGATAAAAAAAGCCCAAAAAAAACGCAGCAACCAATTAAATAGCTGTAAAACGAATATTACCAAAATTTACGGGGAAAAAGAGAGTTACAAGACGAAGCAAAATCCACAAGGTGTTTTAGAGTTCTTGTCAAGGCCCATGATTATTTTCTTAATTTCACCAGCTCTAGAGAAAAGCTCGTAAACTTGTTCTTCCGTAGTGTAAAAAAAAAAAACGCAGCAACCAATTAATAGCTGTAAAACGAATATTACCAAAATTTACGGGGAAAAGAGAGTTTACAAGACGAAGCAAATCCACAAGTGTTTTAGAGTTCTTGTCAAGGCCCATGATTATTTCTTAATTTCACCAGCTCTAGAGAAAAGCTCGTAAACTTGTTCTTCCGTAGTGTAAAAAGACATGTTTCCGATATAGACGGTGTTCGAATTGAGGAGTGCTTGCTCGAATTCCTCTTGAGTGCCATTGAATCTTCTGTCTCGGTATGCTGAAAGCTTAGCTGGGTCCTATGATTTTAACACCCAAAAAATTTGAGAAAATTTATCATCAAGTAATTCACATTGAAAGAAGCTGGGAAGAAAATAACGTACCTTGAACAAGGAAGCCATTGTCCTCTTCAAGAACTCCCAAAAATTCGTACTTATTGCATCTAATGAATTATAAAGGTCGAGGCTTTTGCCCTTGCCTTTGGCCTTGATGAACACTACAGTAAAGTAGGTAGACTTCAGCAGGCTAATAAAAGATTTTTGGGCCGTGACTTTTACGAATAAAAAAGGGTTCTTTCTTCTTTTTCTAGCCTTTGGCCCATTATCGTTTACCCGCTTCGCCTTGACTGGAAAAGCTTCCAAAACCCTATTCCTTGCAGCGGCAGGAAGAGAAAGGTAAATCTTTTGATATTTTGGTGTCTAAAATATACCGCTAAGTTGCCAATGGCTTCGTTTGTCGCCGCCGCAAGATCAGTTCTCCGATCAAGTTTTACTCGCAACGCTGCGGGTGGGCTCGGCCCGAAATCCAGAGCTGCACCATCTCCGTTTCGTGTCTCCTCAAGGATTCCTCTCTCCAACTGCATTTTCAGGTCTGCCTTTCAACACAGAACAGCAAAAAAAAAATCTTTTTACTATATATAAAGGAGATCCTCTCTTGGTTTTGGGTGTTGAAGGTGTCCGGTTGAACCGAGTACCGGCTTGCAGTCGGTGTTACCGTATCGTTCTGCGACTGCTTCGGCTTTGACGAGTTCCATGCTCACTGTTTCTCGCCGCTGCTATGCTTCACTCTCGGAAGGTATCAGGATTTCAGTCTTTTACATTATTTGCTTTCTGGACTGTTTATTATTGAGCTTCGATGAGAACTCGATTTGCTATAACTTATGTGCGTTTCCCTTTTGTTTTGGCTAATTGGATTCTGCTCAACCTTTTGAGTTCTCTTCCTTAGTCTTGTTGGATTTCTGAATGATTACTACATCTCTTGTTGCAGGTTGAAGAGACTACTTTGTACACGTTGGGTGCATTTGAGGATTGAAATTTGAAATAATAGGAAGGATCCATTTTAAAACCTAGTATAAAAACATATATCTGTTCTCTTTTGTAGTGTACTTGCATTCAATAGAGAAGTAGTGATTTTATCAATTTGTCTGGTAGAAACTTCTCATTCTTTTTTCTTTTGATTAAAAACTCCTCAATCTTAGCTACCTAGGATGTTACCTTGTCGTTCTTTTCCTCAGTTCGATTTCTGGTTAGTTAGCATCTCCAATGTTCTTGTTCGGTTGTTTGTAGTCGTAGGAAAAGTAAAAGAACTTGCTTGTAGTTGCTGTCCTAGGGAATATGCTATTGCTCAGATTCAGTTTAGTTTCCATGTATTGAGTCATGAATTTTATTTTATAAATATTGAGACTACATTCAATTAGCTTCTCGTCACTCTTTAGTAAAAGGGTCTGTGTCCCTCATTTTCATGTTGTAGGCAAGATGTCGGACAAGCGGAATCTCCGAGATCACAAGCGTAGATTGCTCGCAGCTAAATATGAATTGAGACGAAAGCTGTATAAAGCCCTTTGTAAAGATCCCAATCTTCCTAGTGAAATGCGGGACAAACATCGTTATAAGTTGTCCAAGTTGCCAAGAAATAGTTCCTTTGCACGAGTAAGAAACCGGTGTATTTTCACAGGTCGCCCTCGTTCTGTTTATTCGTTCTTTCGAATTTCTCGTATTGTGTTTCGTGGATTAGCGAATGAAGGTTCTTTGATGGGCATAAAGAAAGCATCTTGGTAGAAACCACCTAACCAATAGAACAAGGGTTAACTGGCGCCAAAGGAATCTCTGGACTTATTTGTTTTCTAGCTTCTTAGACTAGACATATTATGCTTTTTACTGCTAAGAAGTGATTGAATACAACATAAATGGAGGATTAATACTTATTTTGTGGTTTCACTCCAGTCTTTTAAGGCTTTCAGTTGAATGCTTGACATTTTGTTTTCCTCTACCTGCTTTATTGGTTTTTATAAGAAGCTCATCGGTTCTAAGATACTATAAGCAATGGCTACTGTGTTTTTATTCCATATAGTTCCATCAACGATGTAATTGTAAACTCAAGCATTAGCCCAGATATCATCTTTCCATTGTAAAGTTTCAGATATGTTGCTGCAAGATCCTCAATGCACTTACAATGTAACTGTTTCATGAAA